GGATGAATAAGGATAAGAAGGAAAAGCATACTGCAGGCAGCAGCCATGGGCTTTGGCAGCCACTTCCTCTTGTAGAAGGAAAAAACCCAATTTAAAAGCTGCTTGGGGAAAAGGAGGTTCAGCAGTGGATTTTTTTCATCTCCGTTACCAGAGCAGAAGGACTGCTCCTCATATCCCTGATGGGCTGAAGACAATGCCTTCACTGCAAGCACCTCACTCTCACAACCAGGCTGGGAACACACAAGGCATGAAAAATAATGTCACATTTATTAGGGAAGCAATTCAAGTGCAAAACTCACCGAGGGATACAGGGAGCTGACTACATGCAGAAATCAAAGGGAACCCTTGATGGAAAAGAAATGTTTAGCCACTATGTTCAAAGGCTCCCTAAATCAAAGACAAACTCCTTCTTTAATCAAGGCCATTGACCGAGACTGAAAGCACAGAGAGCTGCCAACAATTCCCGCAGCGTCGCTTTTCAGAGCAGGGCTGCAGGTGCTGATGCTCTTATAGCCTGAATCCTTCCCCCAGCATCCTGTATCTGTGTCCAGGGAGCAGCTCTTGGCACTCAAAACCCAGCAGTTTTGTGGGGACAATAAACCCCAGCCATCCAAACATCCCATGCTCCTGTTTCAGCTGCAGGAAAATTTCAGCCTCCGAGCTCGAGGAGTCATTAGGAGAAGGAGCAAGTGTTAATTGGGCTGTATCTAATCTGAGCCCGACCCAGGGGTCAATGGCTGTTAGTTAAGTCTATCAGCAGTGTTTGGCCATCATTTATCAGCTTTGGGGAGGCTGGACTGGGACAGGTGTGCAGCGTGCTGACGCACAGAGGGCTCAGGGAATATTGATTTTCCCACCCGCCATTAACGAGCGCGCGTTTGTTGTGGTCAAACCACACCAGGAGATGCTGCTGGGGAAAGAGCTGCCCAAGAATGAGGTGCATAGTTATGAATAAACTGGTGAAATATCATGGATCTCACGGTGCCTTGTGGCAGCACAGCTCTGAGGAAAAACCATCTCTGGAAACAGGCTCGGTGTTTCCCATCTCTGCTGAGCTCTATGTTCAGAATCAGAGTCCAGCAATGTCATCCCCAGCTCTGTCTTGTGTCTGCTGCTTGTTTTCCCTTTCCTCCCAAAATCTCTCTTCTATCAGTCTGTGAAAAAGCTCGCTGCTCATTTTAAAATCTCTCTATAGATCACAAGAAGAAGAAATGTTGACAGAAATTAAAGCCTTATTTCACAATCTGCATTAGTTTTCTCTTCCTATCCTCACCTTTCTGATTCTTTTATAGGCAATTTTTCCTATGGAGCTAAGCAGGCCGAGAGCTCTCCCCTGGAAAAACCTCATCTCCTCTGTCTGGGTAAAATAGCACAGTGAGCTGGACCAAAGAGCTTCAGCTTCCTCTAGCCATATATTTCATTGAAATCAGAAGTATAATACTGGTTTTCCTATTTCTGGGCCAGTTCTGGGAGCAAATCATTCATCAATAGCCATTAGTGCTGCCAATGGAACTCACAGGAGTAGCTAAAAATGCCAAATATTTCTGGGGTTGTGATGAAAGTCATTTGCAGTATATTTGGTTTTGTTGATCAACTGGCTTACAGAGTGATGGAAAATATTACAAAAGGTTGAAAAAACCCACTGACAAAATGTTTTCAAGAAATTAGGGGGAAATGTGAAAGTATCCTGTATTTCAGACCTCCACTAAAAAAATCTCCTAGTCCTGGAGACTGGATTAGCCAAGGACCACAGAGGGGCTGTTGTTTCTCTGCTGGTTTCTGACAGCTTTTGTGAAGAATATCAGTTCATTCAGTCTTGTTATGAACCTCTGCAAGTATAAAGCCTCCACAGCCTTGTTTTGGTCCAGCAGCAGTGTTTGTCCACCCTCATGGTGAATGGTTTTTTCCTGCTATCCTGTTGGGATAACCCTTCCTGCAGCTCCTCTGCCATCTCCCACCCTTGCTGTTCAGGTCTGGGAGGGCTTTGGCTCTGTCTCCTCCCCATGTCCTGCCAATCCTCCACCTCCTCACACCATCTCTGCAGCCAGGACAATGCACCCAGAGCTCACCTGGGCTGCAGCCAACTTTCTAAAGAGCCATTTTCAAAGATCATCCCTTGAAACTCGCCTGAGGGCAAGGGTCAGACAATCACAGGATGGTTTGAGTTGGAAGGGGCCCTAAAGATCATCCAGCCATGGGCAGGGACAGTTTATCCTGTCCAAACAGTTTATCCTGCTCCAAACCCCGTCCAGCCTGGCCATGAATATTCCAGGGACGGGGCAGCCACAGCTTCCCTGGGCAATGGACAGCAGCTGCAGGCACACAGAATCCTTTATGCAAACAGCACCAGGCACTGGAGATCCAGGATCCTCATCCAGAGTGGCGCATTCCAGAGCTCCTAGATTACCTCAGAGTGAGATCCAGCCCTGGACAAGGGACGTGTGGTCCTTGGGAGCAGAGACAGAGCTGCCTGAGCTGAGCAGAAGGACAGATTAGACTGGATCATCCCCCTGAGTCTGTGACCCCGAAAGGACAGGGACCATATGCTTCCCATCTGGTGAAGCTCTGTGGAAGAGGGAGTGGGCACAGGGTGCTGCTTCGAGTTGGAGAAAGGGGGAGTGATTTGCTGGAGGAGATTGAAATCTGTGTTTGCCCAATTATCAGCTGCAGTGCTTAATCACTCTGCCCTGGATCTCCCCGGCAGCCGCAGGGGCAGTCGGGTGTGGGGGTGGGAGGCAGATAGGATTTAATAAAGAAGCAATTTTATGAGGAATACTTTGCTTTTGGCACTTTCTGTAGGAGTGGGAAAAATGATCCTTTTTTCTTCGGTAATGCCGGGGAAAGCAGGAAAAGCAGAGCTCCATGTTTCAGCTCCTGAGGGATCCACTCTCTCTCCAGCTCTCAGTGCCTCTCCATCCCATGGAGATCCTGCAAGAGACCCAAGGAGAGGAGCATCAGGGGAGAAAGGGGGGAAAGCCTGTCCCTGCACTGGCCCGGGGTCCCACCTGCAAGGGACAGAGCACCAGGGTCACCAGAGCTGGCCACAGCCCAGAGCCATTCCCAGCAGCCTCACGCCATTACCCAGTAAATCCCAGCAGAGGGGGAAAGGGTTCCATGGACTGAGCCCGTGGGGTTTGGTGCCACTGAGAGGTGGGAGAGCGGAGGAGCTGGGCTGGCAGCTTCCACACCAGGCTGGGAGCTCCACCCCAGCCAATGTCAGCCAGGAGTCCTCACAAGCACAGAGCCTGTCCCCAGCACATTCATCCTCCTTGGGAAGCTTTTGAGTGGCATCCAGTCACAGCCCCTTCTGAACAGCCCAACAAGCTGTGATTTATGTGATGTCTTTGTCCTCAGACACTGCTGTCAGCAGTACCCAGGCTCAGGCAAAGCTGCTGATGCCTGCAGATTTCCAAAGGTGTCTCTCATGGACACGCTGCCCTTGCTGAAGGATAACAAACAGAAGCTTTAGTAAAAGTAGAAATGATGTTTTGGTAATGTTATCCTGTAGCCATGCCCAGCCCCCTCCCCAGAAACCAGAGGTCCCAAGATTTCCAGAACAGAAGAGAAAACAAATTGATAATCTGTCCTGGGCTCCAGAGATTCTCCTGCAGCAGGAGAAAATATGTGATGCTTTCTCAGCAGCTACTCACAGGATCCCTTTTCCTAAACTGTCAGAATGTTCAATATCTCCCATGCACCCAAAGCAACAGAATAGCTTTCTCAGCATTAAATGGGAAAAAAATCACTACCGACCAAATTATGGTTTGGGTTTGGGTTTTTCCCTGCAGGAAAAATCAGTGTTTGAGCAGTATTCACTGGACAGAGGAGCAGCTGATCCCTGCACACTGCTCTCACCTTGCTGATGCAAAAGGGCTTGGTCTGGCTCACACACTTTCCAAACCACCTTGGATATCATGGGCAAGGTCTTGGCTACACCTGCAAGATCCAGGCCTGGCAGGGAACACAAATTAAGGCACTTTTAAATCCAACACAAGAAGCATTTTGGACCCGAAAGAGCTTTGAGCATCTTGGGAACTGGTTTTTGTGACATCTCTAGGTTTCACATTTGCATCTGCCTTTCTCCAAGTTTCACCCATCCCACCCACTGCAGGGCAGAGCAAAGTGCCCAGCTGCCCTGCTGAGATCCTGAGCCCTGAGGAGCCTCTGGTGCTTCAAGAATCCCAGGGAAGGTCCCCACAGCCTCCACCAAGGGACTCGGGGATGCCACCAGCACAGGGCCATGGTGCAGGCCTTGGTCAGGTCATTCCTTGGGGAAAGGGCTGGGAGTGCACAAGGAGCTCTGCTCCTGCTTCAGCCCATTCTCTCTCTGGTCCAGGAAAGGCTGGAAAATGTGAACCACCCCTCATGAGCTTGTTGGAAAACACCATTATTTGGAAGAGGTTTAAGAATCATTTGTGACTTCTAAGCTGTGATTCATGATCATCTGGGTCTGGTTTGTGATCTTTGAATGCTTTGGACTGGTGATTCTGTTGGTTTCCTGAGGCACTGGTGGCTTTCTCTTTGTACATCAAGTCTCCACAAAAAGACAAATTCCAGCCCTGGTTACAACAAGTGATCCTCCAGCCTGTCATGGAGGGACCATCACAGGGAAATAGGTAGTTTCCCAGATTTTTAATTCCCCTGCAATGTAATTTTTTATCCCTTTGCAGCACTTTATTACTGAAATGAATGTAACTTGAAAACATTCAGGTTTGGCCAAAAGACAACACAGAAATTCATCCTGCAGAAGGAGAATCATCTCTTCCTGCTGCTCTACCTGGGGGCAGCCCTGGCAGTTCAATTTGCCTCCTTACCCACTGCCCCTTCCCTCATGCCTTGTGCAGCATCAATTCTCTCTCCAAGGGCTCCCAGCACCCAGGAGGAGACACCACCAGCAACTGCAGAGATTTGTGTCCCAGCCCATGTGTGGTGGCCACCACCCAACAGGGTGGCCGAGGGGACACCATCCCATGCCAGGGACCCTCCTGTCCCCTCCGTTTCTCCACGGCAGGCTCAGCAAGTCACACAGCATGGCTGGCAGAGCCACCTGACTCATTCCTCTCGACTCCTCCAGCTGATGTGTTTGGAGGAACACGCTGCTCTGACAAGGTGACACATCCTGAGAAAGCCCACACTGCCGAGCAGGAGCGCCCAGTGCAGCAGCAGCACTCGCAGCTCTTCTTCATTCCTCCCCACTCAAATGAGCCCCAAGCATTCCTGTTTGATTTTCCTGAAGGAAATCGAGTTGTTGTCAATCAGGAGAGAGGAGCCCTGAAATCCCCTGGTTTTGAAGGCGTCTCATAAAGGCACAGCTGTCAGTGGAGACGCTTGGAAAGGAAGAGCATTTGCTAAGGGAGAAACTGCATTAAAACCCAAGTGTGCCTGCTGTTCAGCTGCAGCCTATGCTGGAATCTTCTTTTGGCAGAGGCAACTGCCCTTGAGTCTGTTGGTTTGGCTCAATTCGTTGTGGAATAATTAAGTTCAGTCCATTGCACTGCATAATCTGGAGTTTCTTCAACCTTCCTCAGTAGCAAAGTACTTAATCTCATCCAGCTCTGGGAGCACTTGGGAGCATGAAAATCAGCCAGTGCAAAGCTGTCAGGAGCCTCAGCAGTAAGAAGATGAAGAGAGGAGTGTCCAGGAGGCAGGGGAAGGTCAGCCTGTGCTTTGATGCCTCTGGCTCCTGGAGGGAGGAGAAAACCATGGCATCACACCCCCTGAAATGTCCCAGGAGCCAACACAGAGCTGCCACCTGCAGAGCATAAACAGTGAGGATGTACCCGTCAAACTCCAGTCTGGAAATGCGCCTGGATGTTTCCAAGGAATCTGAGGGAAAACGTTTCTGTTCCTGGACAATCCAAACTATCACATTGCCAGGCTACAGCAAGGATCTTCAAACTGAAAAACGTGTTTTACCAGGAGTGGGCAAGCCCCAAACATCAGAGAAACTCCTTTCAGCACTGTTCTATTTACATGTCTTGGATTGAAGAGGAAAAAAAACAGGGGACAGTGTTGGACTGAGGGGAACCTCTTTTAGCTGTGAAAAATTATCCCTCCCTTGCTCCTCAGAGGGTGATAACATCACCTGAACCACTGTCCCAGGCACACTAAAGGATTGTTTTCTGTGCTCAAAGGTCCACTAACACCCAGCCCAGCTCCTGAGAGCTGCTGAGCAGTCATACCCAAAGCCAGCTCTACTCTCTGAATTAATAAAATAACAGATGCCACCAGGAGCTGTTCTTTCTGCCCCATGTTGCAGGTCAGCCCAGGGAGAGCAGAGGGAAACCCAGTCAAGAGGGAGGAATCAGCCCATGACCACTGAAGCAAAATCAAAAGAGATGTTTATGGCAGGGGAAAGCACCCTCCAGAGCCACACTGGGAATGGGGCATCCATCCCTTGGACAATGGAGCAGCTGCCAATGGAGCTGAGATTTCTCCCTCTCAAACAGCTCTTGAATTGCTCTTGGCATTGACTTTTTCCTGTTCAGCTAATTAAAAATCTGTCTTTGAGTCATAAGCCCCCATTAGTAATAATTTGCTTTGCACTTCTCCAGTGATTTATGGCTGAGATATCAAAGTGCTTTAGAAACATTAATTAATCCTTCTAATCCCCGGGGGACTGATCCACTCTCTGCAATGCACCACTGGTGGTGTAAGTGTGGGAAATCCCCAGGGTTTACTCCCAATGCAGGCAGGGAGAGGGGAAGGGAGCAGCATCTGACCCAGCCGCTCATTTCAGCTGCTGTCTGCAGTCGGAGATGTGCAGTCAGAACAGCAGCCCTGGATCCGCAGCCACGAGCAAGCCCAAGGCACAGCTCTGGGTGCTCTCAGAGCCATCCTTGCTCCCATTCCTGCCTGCCCAGGGAGGGCAGGGGGGCTGCAGCCCCCCAGTCTGCTCTGTGATCACAGCAGGGAAGGTGTGTGTGGATCAAAGCCATCTTCACCCCGAGGTGGCTCCAGCAGAGAGCTTCACCCTGCATGGGCAGCAGCAGGGTCATTCATCAAAGCCACAGTGCTGCTGACTGCACTTCCCTGTCCTGCCCTTTTCTGCAATCTTGGTTCTTTGTTGCTTTATCACAGGAGTGCAGACCCAGGGCTGACCCCCACACCTGGGACAGGGCCCCAGCCCTTGCTGCAGATAAGGATGATTTCCTCCATTGGCTTGGCACAGCTTTCATCCCTGCGCCCTCCAATGAGCCAGGTGCCACCTGGTGCTGTCCCCACGCTCTGAATGTTGTCACCACAGCCCTGCAGGGTGGAGCTGGCTCTGTGGTGTGCTGCCAGCAGTGGGGAAAGGTATAAAGGTCCCAGCAGAGTGCCAGAGTCAGGATCTCTGACACACCCAGCGGTGTCCCAGTTTCCCTCTGCTGTGCTCGGTAGAACATCACCTCCACCATGAAGGTAGCTGGTGTTTTCCTGCTCCTCTCCCTGGCACTCTTCTTCTACCAAGGTGAGTCCAACATTTTGCTTAGGAGCTATTTCCTCTCCTTGCTAAAGCTCCCAGGTTGGGAAGGTGAGTGTGGGAAGATTCCAGCTGGTGCTGGGACCTTGCTGTGGCCCTGGGCAGGGAATGCTGCAATGGCCAGTGTGCATTACACCTGTACCTCTGCATTAAACCTGTAGCCTTTCAAAGGCTTTGAAAGGGTGCACTTGCTCCCAAAAGTGAGCAGACCTGCTGCTCTTTCTTCAGGGGTGGGATTTGTCCTGTAACTGGTGATTTCTAGGACAGTGTGATCCTTTCAGAGTGAATAGGTGCTATTCTGGTTTTAAAAAAGCAAATCCAAGAAGACAGGAAATGAATCTATGCAAGGGAAAATGCAGCTCTCACTACCAAAGCCAATGTTTAAGCCAACTGTGTTTTCAAAATCCCATATGGTGCAGAGGGATGAGAACACGAACTGTTGCTGCTCCTCAGGTCCTGCTTTAGTGGGCTCATTCCAAACAGGAGGGTGCTTCTGAAGCAGGTCCTCTGCCATCCTGTTTACTGCACAGAGGCTGCCATTGCAGGGCTGTCTGAGCACAAAATCTGGGCTCATTTCAGATGAGCTGAGCACGTAGTGAGCTGCAGCTCCTGGGTCTGGAGCAGTGCTAGCCCAAAGTAAAACCACTGAAATATTAAACAGTGTGGCTACCAGCTCCTCAGCACCAAAATGCTTCACGGCCACTGGGCTGTGCTGGTTGTTAACACAGATGTAGTATAAATCCTCCATGTAGATGACTTCTGGGTTTATAAAAAAACCCAGGATTATCTTCGCAGTTGTGTCTTTTGCCAAAAAAAACTTCAGGTTGTTTTTCAAAACACACCCAGCACTTGTTCCACCCTTGTGATCCCAGCTGCCAGCTCAGCTTCTCCATGGGGAAACCCAAAGTCATGGCTTGATCCCACCAGCTTTGATGTGAGACCTCAGGGTCTCCTTCTAGTAGAGACTTCCAACAACTTGTCTTTTGCTCTGCTTGCTTGTGGTAAAAATGGAATAACAGTAGGAAAATCGCCCTGGATTTTCTGCAGCACCTGTCCAGTGGCAGCAGGAGTTTCTCAGGCACTCATGAACATGTGGTAAGACAGGACAGAAGCCACCTTAGCTCCCTGACAGCTGGCAGGTGACATCTCTGGAAGTGCACTTTGCCTTGCATCATTACATGTTCCTGCCAGGGGAAGGAGGGTGACACAGCAGGGAAGGATTCAGCTGGGAAACGTGGGCGATCCAAGGGAAGAAATTATTTTCTAGGACAAAGGTGTTTGAGTGAAGACACGCAGTCCTCAGCCTAAACTGTCTGTATTCTGTCCCCTTGAAACCAGCCTGAGTGATGGGTGCTAAGGTTCTTCTCTCCCTCTCTCTCTCTGTCTCTCTCTCCTCTTTCTCTAGGAAATGCCGAGATGGATGCAGCCTCTTTCAGGGGAACCGAGGTAAAGTTTCCTCTTTCACATGGCACAAGTGAGACAGCACTAATCCAAACACTGGGGAGCCACCTCTGCTAAATACAGTGAAGCAGAGCGGGTTGACAGCCCAAAAATGCCAGTGCCCTTCCACCTGCAACATCCCAGTGATGGTACTGGTTTTCCACTGCATTTCCCCCAAACACTGCAAGAAAAGCTCCTAAAAGGCCAAATATTGCTGTTTCCTGCCAAGAAAGTCAGGAGTCCCCTTTAGTCTCTGGCTGGCAAGTGTGAGGACAGGTATTGCTGTGGCATAAAAATAAAACAGAAACATGCTCAGGCAGCGCCCATAGAGCACTATTTACTCTGGACTGTCACTCCCAAGGGTGTGCAGCAGAGCCAGGTGGAGTTCAGCTGGCCAAGGGACGTGGTGGCAGATGGTCCCAGTGTTTCTGAGAGCTCACAGCAGAGCTCTGAGGATGGGTTACAAAGACAGACAAAATGTGCACCTCTCTGGGAAAGCAAAGCTCCTTTGCTAAATTGAGAAGAGGCTTAACATTTTCCAAATTAACCTTTTGTGCCTCCAGCCATCTTGTGAGAATTTCAACCTGGGGAGAGGGTGTACAAGGGAGTTTGACCCCATCTGTGGCACGGATAACCTCCTGTACAGCAACGAGTGCCTGCTGTGCCTGCACAACCTGTGAGTATCTGGAGCTGCTGCGAGCCTAAATGCCACAGAGATGAGGGCTACCACACACAGATATCTGGGATTTCCTAGAAAGAAAGCTGCCTGCACACAGCTGGGTGGAGTTTGGGCAGTGAGCCCAGCACATCTGGCACAGGTCTGGCCTCCTGCCCAGCTGCTGCTCCCGCTGCTCTGAGCATGTGGGCTCCAGCTGAGCAATCCTGTGAGGCTCCAGATGAGGAATCCTGTGCAGCTCACAGCACACACGCTGCCCACGAGCAAAAATCTCCCCACACCTGCAGCTGCCAAGCAGCAGCCAGAGCTGGCAGGCATCCAGGACCTCAGACAAATGGCAGAGTCCTCCAAGCCTGCCCAGATCTAGCACGCGGGCTGAAGAATATTTTTCCAGATGACCTCAGATGTGTGGTGGCTGAGGGAAAAAACTGTGTTTTTTCACCCCAGAAATTTATGGCTGAGCTCTGCTTTCTGTCTTCTCTGCATATGAAAGGACACAGTTTGCTCTGGGTATTTTTAAGAATGAGTTTTATATTTAATCTGTGCTGGTGCCAGATTGCACTGTTCTAGCAGAAGGCCAGGTCCAAATGCTAAGGGTGTCTCTGGCAAGACTTGATACACTTCATCTGGCTTGGGCCCTAGGTAATTTAAAATATATTTATACATTGGAAGCACTCTGTGTCAGACAAGGGAAGGAATTACTTCCAACTCAATGCTATTAAGTGGTTCAAAAATCTCTTTTGGGAAGATTGAGTCTTATCTGGAGCCAGATGCCCCAGTCTGCAGGGCTAAGGGAGCTTCACCCTTGGCTTCACCTGGTGTAGGCAGGGATTTCTGGTGATCAGGCTCACAGGCCCATCTGCCATCATGTAGCAGAAGCTCAAAGTCCAGCTTTTCTGTCTCTGGATGCGTGGGTTTGTGGAGCCAAAATTCTGCTTTCAGGAGCATTGCCTCCCTGCTAACTCTGCAGGAGCAAGGAACAGAATCCAGATCACCAGGAAAAAACAAAAAGAGCCTGGATAAATATTGTCAGTTGGGTTGTCCCCTCTTTGCTTCATTAACCCAGGCTGCTGCCACATATTCTGCAGCATTTGCTGGTTCACCT